ATCATTATCGCAGATACCATTGCAATGATGGCATATAATGTCAAGCGTTTGCAGCGCCGGTAGTCTTGAGATGTAATCCAAACGCTTGCGAGTAATTGAATAGACTCTGAGCGATAAGTACTTAACTCGTGGCCAATATCTATCACAATTGTCCAGCCATTTGTCGCTCATTTTTTCCGTATCAATCGTAAGATGTGTTAATTGGTGGCAGTGTTTCAACGGAACCAACACTTGCGCATTATAACAGTCTGATAAATATAAATGTAATCGTTTTAATCTGCGATAACATCTTAATGAATCAAATAATTGGCCATTGAGTCGGAAATTATCAAATCTTACAAATACATCTAAACATTTCAATTGTTTGCAGTTAACACCAATTGTGCGCAAAGACTCGGACAATGAGTTATCGCCAGAATTGACTCTCAAATCTAGTGTTAATTCTCGTAATTGCGGTAATCGTGACAATTGTGTCGACAATTCAATTAAACTCTCGTTAATATTGTAACTTAGATTATTTACCCAGACACTTTTAAGAGACTGTTTTTGTGCCACCAACGCGGACAACAGTTCCTTATCTTCGTATGATTTATAATTAAATTCAAATTTATGCAAATTATTGACTAATATTTTACGAGAGAATTTGCCATAGATGGTCGACAAATGTCCAATATGCAAATAAGACAACCGGTGGCAATAAGTGAGTATGCGCTTTTTACTATCGCACACTTCGTGAATACGGGTAATCAGCGGCGCCAACGATGGCAACAATACATCGGTATTCAAATGTAAATTATAATAAATTTCTCTTAACTGTAAACAAGTGTCTCTAAATATGGTCAAAACCTCCGGAATTAATGAACCATATTGAAATATATACTTTGTACAGTCAATGGTCTGAATGTTTGGACACTTTGTGATAATTGTGGCCAACAATGTGCTTATTATCGCCCGTTTTGGCCATATTTTAATTGTTAGTTTGTTATCAATATTTATGTCGACAACACTCTTGAAGACTGTCCTCTGGAACTGTTTGGACACACATTCGCAACGGAATCGGTCTTCAAATGTGAGATAAGACAATACAAGTGCACACAAGTCGTTGTCGAATCTGTCCATTGAGTCCTTGGCATACATTTGCGGCTAATTTGTAAAACATTTAGCAATTAAAATATAATAAACAATAAATTAGTGTAAAATACCTGTTGGTTATCCTCTTTATTGCTATCATCTATGCTCTCGAGTGTTGTCTTTAGATCTTCCATATGTTCAGCCATTTTTGTGATTAATTAAAATTAATGATTTGATTAATAATATAAGTATTTTTGTTATAAAATGTACCTAAACCTAATAATATAAATAAAATAAATAAGTTTCTAAATAATAATCTATTTGTAAATAAACCTAAAAGACTGTTTAAGAATGGGTTTAATATTAGTGAAGGTTTTAATGACATCAATAATAAATTATTATTAATAATGCATGCCTTTTAATAAACATAATTTTGCCATTTATATGGATATATTTACAATTGGAAATTTTCACGCGTTTACCCGGCGTGAAAATATGGCCATCACTCATATAAATCAGGTTAGTAATTAGCATTTATTAGATTTTTAAGTAAACTATTTTATATTGAATTCTAACCATTATAATTTAATAATTATTTATTTAATTATTTAGTTACAGATCTATTACATTGATTTGACAACCGCTTTGATTGTCTCGTATTTGTTATACCTATTGATTGACTTTTTGTTCATTATTTTGTTGGAGAGTTTCAAAACACAATTCAAGCATACAATTAATGCAAACCTTATTAATGGAAATAATAATGTTATTAATAATAATCGCAATCAAAATATAGACAACGATATAAATGTCAATGCATTAATTGTTTACAGCAAAACCCAATACAAATAATAAATATGCGTTTGAATGGAAAAACTGGCAAAAAACATATTTAATAAATAAATAAAATGTTAACTCAAATAAAGATTTAAATGTGGATTACAAATATGTTTAGATTAAATAAAGTTTTATTTTTAAATATATTATTATAAATATTATTATAAATATTATTAAAATCTTGAGTATATATTCGGTTTTAATAGTTTGTTATGTAAAATGTTTTTACAAAATGTGTTACGAATTAATAAAATGTCAAATAAGTTTACTAATTATTATTAAATATTATTTAGAAAATAAATATAAAATATTATTATACATTAAATAAAGTTTTATAATGTTTTTGAATTCCCAAACTTACATAGATTATAATCTATTGCAATTAAAATTATATTTATTAATATTATTTCATTAATAGTACTGTTCATTATTTATCAACTTGTATACATAATACAGAAACACGATTTATTTAATTAATTAATCTAATCTACTTTGATATAATCAACATCTTATATAAACAACATGTTAGAAGTTTGGCTCCACTTTTATATTAACAATAAGTGGGAAATGTTTGTAAGTTATAATGAAATACAGTTAAAATATAATAATATATTAATTAAATTGTTTAATAAAATAAACTAAATAGTTAAAGTTAAACAAAATAACTATAATTAATAAATAATCGTGCTGGTTCACTATCCGTAAATGCATACTAAACATTATAACACTAATATCGTGTTTACATACGGACCTACCTTACAGTCTGTACTCGGTTTTAACAGACGCGTTAAATTCAAATTTGTGTAAAATCTATTGTACACCATACAATCCACAATCAAAACAATCATAATGAATCAGTTGAAAATCACCATGGTACATATAATCCTGATGGTGTGCATGGTATCGGGTGCGACAATATTTACCACGTTGGTGTTTATGATGGTTAGGCGACATAAAAAGTGGAAACGCCGTAACAGCGATAGCTTACCCGTGTCCGCACGACCTGTGCTCGACATGCGGCGCATAGAGTTGTTGCGTAGCCATAGTTACCGGTGCTTAACCGACACAGAGTGCTACCAAATGCAGTGTTTTGCGGTCAATTAAGTACTTTGTACATTAATTAAATGGGATTTTAATTATTGTGTACTTCAAATGAGCATTGACAAATTTAATTATTTGAACAAACTATGTGGAATTTGTAAATATTATACAAGAATGTAGTAAGCTGAAGTTAAAACTAGCAAAAAGGAATCGGTGGAAACGCCAATTGTATACTATTGTTAAATTTGTAATTGCATATTTATAAACTTTAATTAGCTTTACAGTTTGAATTGTTTTTAATGCAAATATTTAATTGTTTAAAATAAATATAATTTGTAATGGATAATATATTATATGTTATTAGTATGTATTAAAATAGTAATATTTGTAATCGAGATAAGTTTATAATCTAGTAAGAGTACTTTATAAGTTAATAATTATAATTATTTGTTACGATATAAATAATATTGTTTATAATAAGTTAATTTTCAATGGAAAAAATATTTTTAAAACTAGAATGATCCGCATTAAATCGGTTTTCAATTACAGATATCTTAATTGAATAAGATTAAATTATTATATAAACATGAATTACATTAATATAATAAATTATAAACTTGTGAAAATCATATACAATTTATAAATATTGCATTTTTACATCTTTAATAAATGTTATAATTTCATGATATCGTTGAAATTACATATGATTTTTATTTAATAAACATTTCTAAATAACAAAGATGTTTAAATTATATTAATTAAAATTGTTTTAAAAAAATAACTATTATTTTATACTTATTATTAAACATTTTGGTGATCATAATGTGATAGACGTGTTATTTTATTATTTGACATGATTCAAAAATAAACTGTAATTTAGCATATATCAGTATTATAAGTATACTAAATTTAATTTACATTTAGATTTAGTGGGAATTAATCCAACGCGCGAGTAATTATTAATTATTTTAGTTTAAATTATAATTTAAAATAAACAATATAAAAACACTATAATATTAATTGTACCATCTTTAATTAACCAATTTTTGCGCTAACATAAATTTTGACTCTACGGGTGAGCGCTAGAAGTTTAGTTTAAATTTTGAGAATAATTAAATATATATATATTTAGTTAAGCATTGTTATAGGTAAAATGATATTGTAATAACTTATTATAACTTATAATTAATTAGGTGATATAAAAAAAATAAAGGGTTGGAATAGCAATGAACTGTATGTTTGAATTTATATTTGCATAGAGTTAATATATGGAAAACAAAAAATGCATATAATGGATGTTATGACCAAACACGTTATATAATAGATTTATTTTTACTAATAACAATTATTAATGAATTTATAAAATAATTTAATTATAATTTTAATATTTATTAAACTATACTATATATACTAACACATTATCTGTCAGGGACTACCAAGTTTATACGTCGTGCCGTACATTGAGTTTAACGCTTTATGTCTGATATCGGCCATACGTTTTTAAAAAACAAAAATATTATTTACAAAATTATCATTATAAATTCTTAACCATAGTTAACCAGCTCCTTTTTGTTTGGCGAGTCTGCTCAGTCCAACCCTTTAAAAATTCAAGTAAATTAATAATAACCATTATATAACATGATTTACTGTACTAACCCATGGGTACAAAAACTACTGGCCATAGGAATGCCGTGTTATATAAGCCATTAGACGGTGTTTGTTGTCTAAGATAAGGCTCGAGACCGCTCTGAACTCGGGCTCCGAGAATGGTTTGGGCCCCGAGTAGTTCTCTTCGCACGGGTCATGACTCGAGCCCTCACCGCCCCAATGGAAACTATAGTTACGGTTCAGATCAGTGCCCAAACAGTCGGTGCATTTTAGTTTAGTTTTGTTATTATGCCACATTCGGTCCTATTATTTAAATATATACAAGATCATATTTTATACAATAATACAAAATATAAAGTGTAAATACACAAATATCATTCTTACGATTATCTAGATTTATATGACATGTAAAGTTATTGAAGCAAAAGAATAGGACACTATTATTTATGCTATAATTTTAGGACTTACTACCATTTTGAACATATTCTAAATCAATTCAATTTCCCGTAAAAACTTATAAATAAATAATTAAATCATAAAACTATTAATTTAAGTTATTGAATTACTAGTATTAAATGTAAAATAAAATATATAGTAAAATTTATTATGATTAACTTATTAAAGTTATAAACTGTAAATTTAATTTTTGTGTATTTTATTGGCATTTAATTTTGAGTAATTTTAATAAATTTGGAATGACAATGGAGTATTTTATTTTTAATAAAATATTGTTATTAATAAGTTTTTAATTTATAACTTAATTAGTGATTTAACCAACTTAATTTAAGTGATTTATATGATTTATATTTAATACACAATTTAAAATAATAAAAATTTTTAAATTATATCAATTTCAATTGTTTTACACACATAATATACGCTTCAATTTTTTTTATAGTTTCAATATATAAATTTACAGTAATTTTCAATTATTATGAACTGTATATTTGAATTTATATCTACAAATAGTTAATATATTGAAAGTAAAATGAATGTAAATTAGGGTTCATATAAGTCTTTCACAGCAATTTTATTTTGTACTTATAAAAATCATTATAAAATATATAAAATAATTTAACTATTATTTTTAATAATGTTAATAATTATATTTAATATATACTAGCACATTATCTGTCCGGGGCCATTGAGTTTATAAGTGCCGAACACTGAGTTTTGAGTCCCAAGTAGTTCTCTTCGCACGGGTCCCGACTCGAGCCCTCTCCGCCCCAATGGAAACCATAGTTACGGTTCAGATCAGTGCCCAAACTGTCAATACATTTTAGTTTAACCTTATTTTTTACATTTTGTCTTGTTATTGTAATAATTATTATATTTTTATATTAATACAAGCATATTTTATTATTTGATATTATTTTAAATTAAACTGTAATTAAATAACTATTCGTATTATAATTATACTAAATTTAATTGACATTTACATTAATTGGATCTGAACGATATCCATAAACTATTTATTTTATTATTTTAATATTTAATAATTTATTTTTAAAAAACCTATTCAGTAAAACTTCAAAATTAATTAATTGTAACTAACATTTATTTAAAAATTATTTTATATAACAATTACAAATGAATTTTGATAGTAAATATAATTAAATATAGTAAATATAATTTAAAATACACAATATAAAAAATATTATAATATTAATTGTACCATCCTTTAACCAATTTTAACGCTAACATTACTCTTGACTCTACGGGTGAGCGCTATCTCTCGGGCCATAGCCTTAACGGCGGCGTAAGTCTCGTTCCCGACGGGTATTATATCCTTTGCCGGCAATAGGAAGCCGTGTTGGCCCTCATCGCGCATCTCAAGGCAGTACACGTACGGTATGTGTGCAAACCCGTGGGCCCAGTCTTAATCATCATGGTTGAAAGTGTAAAATGGTTTTGCAATATATGAAAATCGATGTAGATTATTTTATCGTTGTTTATTTACCATCAGATCCTTGTGACACATCTAGATAAATTAGATATTTAGCTTTAATTTTAGGCATAATTAAATATATAAAGTGTATTTATATTTAATTGGGTATTGTTATAAGTAAAATGATATTGTTATAATTAATTTTGTTAGGTAAAAATATATTTCAAATGGAATGAACTGTATATTTGAATTTATATCTACATATAGTAAATATATTGGAAACAAAAAATATTAATAGTGGGGGCTTATGTGAACTCATTATACTGTATAATAACTTTATTTTTACTTGTAAAAATTATTCATAAATTTATAAAAAAATTTAATTATAATTTTAATAATAATTAAACTATAATATACTATATATACTAACACATAATCTGTCCGGGACTACCAAGTTTATACGTCGTGCCGTACACTGAGTTTAACGCCGTATGTCCGATATCGGCCACACGTTTCTAAAACACAAAAACATTATTGATAAAATTATCATCATAAATCATTAACCATAGTTAACCAGCTCCTTTTTGTTTGGCGAGTCTGCTTCAGTCCAACCCTTTAAAAAATCAAATAAATTAATAATAAACAATAGCTAATAATTACCATGATTTACGGCACTAACCCATGGGTACAAAAACCACTGGCCATAGGAATGCAATGTTATATAAGCCATCAAACGGTGTTTGTTGTCTACGATAAGGCTCGAGACCGCTCTGGACTCGGGCTCAGAGAATGGTTTGGGTCCCGAGTAGTTCTCTTCGCACGGGTCACGACTCGAGCCCTCTCCGCCCCAATGGAAACCGTAGTTACGGTTCAGATCAGTGCCCAAACAATCGGTGCCTTTTAGTATAGCTTTGTTTTTACGCCACATTCGGTCCTATTATTAAAATATATTGTATATTATATTTTGTACATTCATACAAATTTTTTTATTTTGTGTGCTTTTAAAATAAACTGTAAATATACAAATATTGTTATTAAGATGATGCAAATGGCATATTAGATTTAAAGTTATTGGGTATCAAGAAGAGTGTACTATTATTTATGCCATAATTTTAGTACTTATTATAATCATGAGCATATTTCAATTTTAGTGGCATATTTCTACTCCCGTCTTTAACCTGGCTGCTTTTAATAATTTTTTGAAAACAATATTCTGTGTAATTATAACGTGTCAGTTGTAATAACATTAAATTTCTTATCAAGTATAATTCATAATAGAATTAATTAGAATTAAGATCTCAACAATTACAATTGTAACATATTAAGTTGCAAAAATAATTGTATATGACTTACCGTTGTGTGCGAGTACTCATACCCATCGGGATTAACCACAGGAACCACATAAAAGTCAAACCGATTTAACAAATATGTCACCACTTTATCGCCAGCGTTATAGTCATCAATGAGGCGGTCAATGATATAGCACGCGGTGGACACTGCGGCCCATTCGCGGGCATGAGTGCCACCATCGATGTAAATGATGGACTTATTAGCCCGACCATGGTCAACACCAATTTTAACTGCCATAATATCCCGGTGCTCTATAGACGTGCCAATACTCATAAGCCCAACGAGTTTAGTGTTTTCCGAGTGTTTTTCGCGTAGAAATTTTTCAATCTCTCCGTTACGACGGAATTCGTCGAAAAATGAATCGCTAGCTGCGAACTGTCTGATTTTGTCCTTGATCATTTTTCTAATAATGAGTTATTATTAATTTAAGTTTCTAATTAATTTACAAATATTAAATATGGATTAAATTTATAATAAAATTTGTTATAATTAGTTAAATTGAATTAAAGTTAAAAACAGTAAATTTAGTTTTTGTGCATTTTTTAAGCAATTAATGTCGAGTGATTTAAATCAATTGGTTTGATGTAGAGTAAGTCATTTAATTTTAAATAAAAGTATATTTTGATTAGTATTTATTAATAAAATTAATAAAACTTTAAATTCTATATTTAATTATGTTAAAAATAATTAATAATAATAAATTTGGTTTTATATCTATTAAGTTTTGTAAGTCTATAATAATCTGGTAAATAAACAATTAATTAATTACTAATAAAACTGTAAAATTCCTTATTTAAAAAATTTAAAACCTCTTATTTTGATAACAAAGTTATTAAAGTGGAAGTAGGAGAAAAGTTTTAAATATTAATTTTAGTTTTAATAAAATGTCATATATTTTAAATTTATACTTTCCAACATCTTCAATCAAGTCCTCATACTCAATATCATGCTCATCAAGTTTTTCAGCTAGCTCAGGCATATGTGATAAACTAACCATTATATCAACATGTTTGCCCACCATTGTGGGTGGTATCCAAAATTTAATCTAGAAAGTTTATATAAAATTTGTTTCAATAATAAAACTTTAAACAATTAATAAACTTAATTATAAATCATAATTTATTATAATTTATAATTACTTCTCTGTTTTTAACGAGTGATCGCAAGTACTCGAGCTGTTCATCGGTGTCGACCGTACAGCGTATCACTTTAGACCCGGTGTAGTCAACAATGTCTGATTTTTGAGCATGGTCAACTGATGCTGATACACAACCATGACCGTTTAATATTAAAAAGCATATTAAACATGCACACAACTTTGTAAATAGACCATCCATTACTGTTTATGTATTTTGTAATAATTAGTTAAACACATATTAAGTGGAGTTTTATAATTAAATTTTTGTAATTTAAAACCGAGATTTAATGTCAGGTGTAATAAATGGTATTATATTTTTATTAGAAATATGATTATTACGCTCGATATAGTGTATTATTGTATAAAACAACTATTCTTTATTTTATGATTTAAAATTAAAAAGTTTACTAAAATTTAAAAATAATAATAAATTGCAATCTCATAAACATAAAACAAATTAAAATAAATGATTATTTTATTACTAATATTATTATTTATAAATTATAATTTAATTTAGACTACTATTCTATATAAAAGGTAGACTAACAAATTAAAAAAAATAATGTATTTTCGTTAATAACTAATTAATTATTAATGAACTGTAAACTTAATTTCTCTCTACTTTATAAGCAATTATTTTTGTATAATTTAAAATAACCAGTCTGCAATTAACTGTTGTAAATTAAATTAAACCAACTTTTTTAACTTTTATTTTTAATTGTAAACGTTATTATTAATTAAATTATATAAAATGTATAATAAATATACTAACCAACGTAGTGATCAATGTCTTTGTAAACAATATTACCATGTAAACGATACCATGCTCATCAAGTTTTTAGCCATCTCAGACATTTGAGTCAAAGTAGTATATTTAATTTTCACCTACATTTGCATCTATAGTCCAGTAATTTCTGTTCTCTCGTATTTACATACAATTGTTTGTGAGTAATTCCGGTGCCACCGATTCAATCTATGTAATTTACTTCAAATGTAATATGCATTAATATTATATAAGTCATATTATTATTTAACCATGTATGAATGCTTATTATTTTATTATTTTTAATAATTAACCATTAAAACCGTGACCATGAACCTTGAGTAAATCAATAGTTATAGTTTGTAACTTATAACTAATTCATTTCAATTTAATTAAGACATTATTTATTATCAAAACAAAGTTTTAAATATAGTTATAACCATAGCAGACTTGTAATTGCAATAAATTGTTTTAATTTTGCCATATTGGATTTGAACCTTTGCAAACTAATTAACAACACATTTGTCAATATAATAAATTAAAATAAAATTAAGTAATATAACTAACTTTATTTAAAATAATTTATTGCAATTACAAATCTGCTATGGCAAAACTACTATGGCTGATTAGTCATTCTCTTTCGGTTTTTCCAATTTTTATTTAATAATAACAATGTCACATATTTCTAGTTATTTTTATGTTAAAAATTACAGTTAATATTCACTAAAAATAAAATTATTATATTAAATATGGGTTGGTACGTGACTAATTAAATTACTTTAACATTATGTTGCAAATATACTTACGAGTTATTATTGTTAGTTACAAATTAATGAATGTTAACTCTATTAAATTAATGCTAAGTAT